TGTGTGACCCTGGGCAACCCCAGTTGCCTAAAAAACAAAAAACAAAAACAAAAACAAAAATGAAATAAATATTCTCAAATTTTGAGGCAAACATGATGCAAAGAGGAGTGAAGATAAGATGAATTATTGATAGTTAAACTGACTAATGCAAATTGTATTTAATGACTTGAAGGAGAAAAGGAGAGAAATAAAGAAATCTATGAGAAAATATTTGGTAAAGCATTTTATCACTCCAGTAAGATTTTTTTAAAACATAATACAAAGTTTAATCTTCACTCATTTTTGTACAAGAAGTCAAATATAGTAGAACAGCAGCCATAAAACATTGATGCCACATTTTATTTTTAATATTAATGAATTGTGTGAATTATGCAGTAGAAGGTTTGAAGAGCTGATATGGAACATTGTGTGGCAAGCATTTAATAAATATTTGTCGAGTGATATCAAGTAGAGGGATTGAAAGTGAGACAAAAAAATGATGTGTTCATCTTAATGTAGGTTTTCTTCAATAGTTATCATGGGAATATATTATAACATATTAAAACAGTCCTCCAAATCCAAAATGCAAAACGTTAAAATGAAGTAAATCAGAGGAAAAACTCTTGTCACAAAGATACCTTAGAAGTAAAATTTATTGGAATTCTGAAGTTAATTCTTTCAATGACTCCAAAATCAATGACTCCTCCAAATGACTGATAAACTTTTACACAGAATTATTTTCTCCTGCCATGATGGAATTGAGCTCATCTGCACCACCCACAATGCTGTCTCTATGGAGTCATGGTATGGAACTAGCTTCACCCAGACTATCACTTCAAATTCCTCAAGCTGAATGGTTTTCCTCTCTACAAGGATTTGGGGGAGGTAGAGTACATCAACATAGACCATGAGGATCCGAAGGATTGTGTTGATAGTTATTCTCCTTTCAAATCGATCTTTCATCATCCTGTCAGGGTAATCTTTCTAATATATTATATTAGTGAACATGTCACTCCACTACTAAAAATCCTATAGTGTTTTCCCACTGCATGCCAAATGAAGTCCTGATCTATATCTTGCCACTGGATGCAGATGGCTCCAGAGGAGAAAGTGAGGCTGGTGACTTTGCACACCCCTGCCTCACTTAAATCCAATTCACTTGCATGTCATGGCATTACCTCCCTGACGTTAAGGTCTTCTTCAAGAATGAAGGACAAAACAATAACAACAAAAGTGAAGTAAAAACTCCTTCCCGTGGCATTAAGACACTTTACAATCAGGTTCCAAACTACTTTCCCATTTCTATAGAGATTTGCATAAACTAAGTCAATAAGTCAGTCAATAAACATTTCTTAAGTATCTCCTATGTGTTAGGCACTGTGTTAAATGTTGGAGATACAAAGAAAGATAAAAGACAGTCTCCCCACTCTCCTCTCAAGGAGCTCTTGAGTAACAGTACAATAGAGGCAACAATATGCAAACAGCTTTCTACAAATAAGCTACATATAGGACAACAAACCATATATATACATATATATGTGTATATATACATACACACACATATATACATATACACACATACATACACACACATACACACACACACACACACACAAATAGGATAAATTGGGAATAAACAAGAGAGGGCACTAGAATTAAGAGGAATCAGGAAAGGCTTCTATAGAAGGTAGAATACTAGTTGAGGCTTGAAGGAATCCAGGGAGGCCAGGAGGCTATAATGAGGAGGGAGAGGATTCTTGGCATGGCGGACAGCCAGGGAGTTGGAAGATGTAATGTCATGTTTGAGGAACAAGAAGGAAGCCAGTGTCAATGGAGCAGACTACAACCTTATTTACCAGAGGCAAAGTTATGCAATGGAGAGGAAGCCAGCCTTAGAGTCAAGAAGGCACAGATTCAAGTACTGCCTTTGACACATATTGGCCGTATGAGCCCACGCAAGTCACTTAATCTCACGATGTTCTTGGCAAACCTCTAAAGACTTTAAGTTGAAGAGAGGTCACCAACCTGCTCTGGCAGAGGAAATTATGAATTTAATGATATAATCATGTGGTTTTTGATGTTTTTATTATTAATATTATTTTTTCATATGCTATACCCTGGACTTTAAATGGACTGCTCCCACATGGTTACCTATTGAAATAATTTTCTTTTTTTCAAAATCCTTCCCAGGGAGCACAGCCAGCTTCCTAAAGGCTCCCCGATTCTAGGGATTATAGATGATCTCTTCCTCCTTGAATCTATCATGCTGGTTAGGCTCAAGTACTGTGTTTTTATTTTAAAAATATTTTCAATTATTTCTTTTTTGCTTTTTATACCACTATCCCTTTCCAATACTTCCCAAGAGAACCCTTTATAAACAAATAAAAATAGTTAAGTAAAACAAACCATTACAAAAAACAAATCTGACCCTGACTGCAACATGTCACAGCTGTAAGCCACTGCCTCTTTACTGAGATTCCCTATGCACCTGTCACCTCTTATTCATATGTTCATGTACAATCATTTATTAAGTAAATATAAGGTATCATTATACGGAATATTGTAATAACTAGGGAAGTGAGTTGTTGCATTAGACCTGGGATCAGTAACACATAAGCTCAAATACTGCCACTGGCACTTACTAGCTATGTGACCCTGGGTAGGTCACTTAAACTTTGTCTGACTCAGTTTCCTTATTTGCAAAATGGGGATAATAATAGAACCTACTTTTCAGAGTTATCGGGTGGATAAAATGAGATATGTGTAAAGAGCTTTTAAAACCTTAAAGTTGTATAAATTCTAACTATTAAGTACTTATTGTGCGCAAAGCATCGTGCTAGGTGCCAGGAGACAAACAAAATTTTAGGTAAGATACAGTCCTCATTTTCAAAGACTTTACACTCTAATAGGATGTTGACACAAGCTTAAACACTATTTTATATTAGAGAGTTTTACAACAAGGGACCATGTAAGGCTTGAGGGGGGAAAATGATTAATGACTGAGGGAGGGTTGTAGTTGTGGTTTTTCCTTCATTCTCGAAGAGGACAATGCATCATTGTGATTTACTTTGATCTGAGTGAGAAAGGGCTGTGCAAGGTCACCAGCCTCACTTTCTCTTCCAGAGCCATAGGTAAAGTGGCCAGATATCTACCAGGATGACTGGAGATGGCCCAGGATGCAGTGGGAGACCTTGGCCCTTTTAAATTAAGGTCTTTTCAGGTTCTCACTTTGAATAAGCCAACACTCATTCAGTGAATAGGCTTCTTTAAGAAGTGAGTCAGAGGATGGCCCCTTTAATTAATTAAAAATAAAAAATCAAACTTGGAGAGAGGGTAGGTTTCATGCAGGTCCTGGCATTTGAGTTGTCCTTTAGAGAATGGGTCAGAACTCAACAGGTAAAGAGGGGAAAGGTGGATATTTTAAGAATAAGGAAGAACATAGTAAAAGACAACCATGTCAGAGCACTCTTATTTGTTGTGGGTCCATTTTGGCCAGAGCAGAGTACCTTGTGGGGAATAATATGAGACCAGGATATGTGGGGGGTGGGAGTGGGAGTGGGGGTGTTGCCTGATTGTGAAGGGCCTTGAGTTCTAACTTAACTCTGGGAGCACTAGGGAGCCATAGAAAATGTTTCAGCAGAAGAGTGATGGTATCACAAAAGAAAGCTAGTCCCAATGGCTCTATGAAGAGTGGATTACAGGTAGAAGAGAGACCACTATTACGACAGTCCAGGCAGATCGTACTGAGGGCCTACATTAAGGTGGTAGCATCAGGAATAAGGAGGATCATAGAATCATAGCTATATTACTGGAAGGCCATCTAGTCCAGAGGTGGAGGCCACAGGTTGCCCATTCCTAATCTAGTCCAATCTCCTTTTTTTATAGATTGGGGAACTGAGGCCTAAAAAGATTAAATTACTTGCTCGAGGTCACGGCATTGAAAACGAAGAGCTTTGCAGACATTAAAATACTATAAAAATTTAAGTTACTTTTGACTCTTTTTTTGGGGGGGGGGGAGGGCAAGATAATCCTTTAAACCCATCAGTATAACCTCTTAAAAGCATCTGCTCTACCATACACCTTTACACATCTCTTTATATCACATCTTGTCTTCCCCAAAGAAGGAAGAATGATTTGTATCCAAATTGAGGTTACATGTGCTAGAAATCCATAAGTTAAAAGTCTTGGTTAGTATATGAAGCAATGATAGTGATTTTCTTGTGTACTTTATAGAAATCAGACTCATTACTTTTAGGTATCCCATGTAAACACTCTCTTTTTACATTAGAAGTTCTCTAAAGCTATTCAGAGGTCCCACATTGGGGATGAACATGGCAGAGAAGAGGGAGAAAAAAATGAGAAGACACTGCCTGGAAGTCTACACTGTGCCAAGGAAAGAACATCAGCGGAAGCCAGATACAAAGCCATTTTTATCATAAAGAAGCTGCTCTGTTTAAAACAGGAATGATCTAATTTATACCCCTCTCACTTTACAGAAGCGGGACTACCCTGGGGAAAAATTCTGATGCAAACAACTTCTGCTGAAGTTTGAAGAAGGCATTTGTTAGAAATGAAAACTGTGGGAAAAGAAGGATCCATGTCTTGAATTTTTTAACAGCACATAAGAACAAGAAAATATTGGTAGTGTTAAAAAAGGTCCCTGTGTCTTTTTGCAATAGGATATGAAGCTACAGGGCTACATATTTTATTTCATGATAAAATACTTTTTCAAAGAACTATGCAATTAATTTTAAAAAGCCACCAAATTTTAAAGCATGCATGAATGCTAAAATCGTTACCCAAATGACCAAAATTAATTACATTTCATACAAGCCACATGGTGGTTTCATTTCTGGGAAACAGAGAAGTGGAGATTGGCAGATTTCTTTGTAGAATTATCCATTAAAAGGGTATTCAGGATGAGTGCTCACAGATCAGAAAGCCAGGCATGACATACTCTTATGTCTGCAAATGTAACCCATGCTGTGAGTCCACCACAGTGTCATTAAGAAAGTACTTACATTAGGTCTCAAACTGGCTGCCAGTTCATAATATTTCTCAGCTGCTTCATTGAGGTTAGCTTGTCTGTCAGGAAGAGAAAAAAAAATAGCATTTAATTGAAAACTGAAGATGGGTTAACAGAATCCCTGTGTTGCAAAATAATGCCAACATTTGAAGTTTGGTTGTTTGTTTTAGAACTGCAAAAACACTAATTAAGTTTACAGTCAAATATAAAAAAAACAAAAACAAAAAAAACCCCAAAAAACAAAAAAACTAGATCATGTCCAAAGCATAAGAAAAATCAGTAAAAAAGTAATTCAAGATTCTCAAAGGAAAAAAAAGTCAAGATTGATCATATGTTTATTATTTTTAATGGCCACAAACAAATGAAATACACTTGAATTTTTCAGGTGTGGTTAAATAGTCCACATTTTGCATATGACAGCAGGGATTCAGGCTTAACTAATATTCACAATACTAACCTGAAGCAATCAAGGCCTAACATTGCAAATGGATATATTCTTTTTTTTCCCCACTTAATAGTATTTTATTTTTTTCCAATTACATGTAAAGATAGCTTTCAACATTCACTCTTACAAGATTTTGAGTTCCAATTTTTTCCTCCTTCCCTCCCCTCTCCAAGATGACAAGCAATCTGATATAGGTTATACATGAACAATCATATTAAAGATATTTCAAATGGATATATTCTTTATTATTGAAGTATGAGCTGTTGTTTATACAAAGACAATTCTGATGCATCCATAAATTGTTGTTCAATCTTTGGGGAAAATGTATAAGCATGTATACCCATACCAACGTATACCCATGTAAAGTCACTTCATGTCACAACATTACTCCTGGTAAGAGTAATTCCATATAATACACTCACGGCACTCCCCTATAAGAATTCATAAGAGACTTTGATTATCATGCTGAAAAGAGTTGAATTACTGGACTGTGAATTCAGTGGATGTAGAGAAGTCAGCACTTGCATCTGATGGTTAGAGGTGATTCTTTTTTTTTTTTTTTTTGGCAATTGGGGTTAAGTGACTTGCCCAGGGTCACACACCTAGTGTCATGTGTTTGGTCTGAGGCCGGATTTGAACTCCAGTCCTCCTGACTTCAAGGCCAGTGCTCTATCCACTGTGCCACCTAGCTGCCCCGTTAGAGGTGATTCTGACTGACTTTTCTCACAACCAATACATTGTTGACACCTATGTATTATCTATTATTTGCATTATCTATTATTATGAATAAACTATATGACTGGTAAGACTAATGTTTACATAAGCTGAGGAGGCTGCGGTTTGATACTTAAACGAAACTTTATAGGGAAAGAAGATTATCAATTTGCTTTTTTTTTAACAAGCCAAGGTAAAAAGGCAGCTAACTGCTGCAGTGGATAGAGTACCGGCCCTGGAGTCAGGAGGACCTGAGTTCAAATTCGGCCTCAGACACTTGACACTTACTAGCTGTGTGACCCTGGGCAAATCACTTAACCCCACTGCCTAGCCAAAAAAACAAACAAACAGACAAATAAAAAAACAACAATAAGCCAAGGTAAGTGTTCATAGCAAAAGGAAGATGTACTAATATAATGACTAGAATAGCAAGTGGAATGGTAGGGTGTCTCTGAAGCACCTGAGAGGTATTCTTGTTGCTGTTAAGTTGTTTTAGTTATGGTTGACTCTCAGTGACCCCATTTGGGGTTTTCTTGGTAAAGATACTAAAGGGGTTTGCCATTTCCTTCCCAGCTCATTTTACAGATGAGGAAACTGAGACACACAGAGCTAAGTGACTTGCCCAGAGTCATACAACTAGTAAGTATCTGAGGCCAGTTTTGAACTTAGGTTTTCCTGACTACAGGCCTGCAACTCTATCTATTGGGCCATCTAGCTGTTGCCTTTACCTTACAATACACACTCATATTTTATTCGTGACATTGTGAGATGTATAAAAAGTTCAAGAGACATAGTTTTGGGGTAATTAATCATTTTATTAATCATGCTAGTGATAATTAATAAAAGGGGTCAGTGACATTCTCAAATGCCAAAGACTCCTCAAGGAACCCACTCAAAGCTTATATGCCCTTGAAAGAGTGGGTATCCCTGAGGGTAGCAATCAACTCTGTTAACAAGTTATGATAGAATGAATACTATAATGAGAGGTGGGCTTATTCTAATGAAGATCTGGTAGAAGGTGATTTTAATCACTCAGTCTTGGTCAAAAGGCTTATCTATACCCATATCACCCTGTCTAAGGTAATTTAGACAAAAGAGAGAATCCACTTTTTCCCAGACCTATCTGAGTAAGGGCCAGAATCAATCAATTGATTGGGCCAGAATCCATCAATTCACCTGAACCAAAATTTCTTTACCTTTTGAACAGATCTGAGTTTTCCTTCTCATTATCAACCCTGCACTTCAAAGGCTGCCTGAATAATCTACAGGAGCTGATTTCTGAATGAGGAAGTAGAAAAAGGGAAAAACCTGGGACCTCATTCAAATATTGGTTATTAATATGAGAGAAATTATCATTTCTCTCGATTAATGTATGAACATGAATGTCAGCAAAGTATCTGTCAGTGCATGAAGGTTCAGGTAATTAACTTTCAGATAGATAGATAGAGAGAGAGAGACAGACAGACAGGAAGAGAGAGCTAGATCATTTATTAATCACTATGTGTAGGCACTGTGCTAAGTGCTAGAAATAAAAATATGAACAAAAAAAGAACAGTTGATGCTCTCAAGGACCTTATATTCTTAAGGGGTTGGGGATTGGGAGAGAGGCAACTCTTCAAGAAGAATCAGAAAGGGTTGGGTACTTCAGAGGACTTGGTAAAGAGATGGCAGGGAACTGGTGTAGAGGCCTGGTCCTAGATAGGGGATGGTGGAAAGCTCACTTATCAGAATGAAGGAAGCGGGAGCCAGAGTCCAAGATTCCAGTGAGAGAGGGATGAGGTATGATGGATGAAAAGCAAGAGGCATGAGGAGAAGGAGGAAAACAAGAATACGTGTGTATACATAAACACACACACATATATATAATACATATATTTTTATTTATATACAACATACACGTAGTTTAGACATGGATACTAAGAACGAACGGACAAAAACTATCCATAGAATCATAAATTCTCAGTTGTAAGAGACCTGGATTAGAGATTATTGAAGGTTATGCTGGGGGTAGCTAGACTATGCAGTGGATCCAGCACATACCCTGGAGTCAGGAGGACCTCAGTTCAAATGCAGCCTTAGACACTTAGTAGCTGTGTGATCCTGGGCAAATCATTTAACTCCAATCGCTCCTCCCCCCCAAAAAAAGCAAGTTATGTGACTTAGTAACCCATTGTTCTCAGTCTTGCTTGTCAATCACTTTGGGGGAGCGTCTGTTAAAGGAGACATCACCCAGACCTTGGCTTTTGTATTACCTGCTGTCCTTCACATATCTACTACCCTTTAGCCTACACATACCAGCAATTGGGGAGGAACTGAGACACAATGTCCCATCCCCTTTTGCTGACATGGACCCGTCTGAATTGTCTTTATCCCATTAGGAAAGTTATCAATAAAAGCTAGCACCATCTTCAATCCTTACTGATGTCTGATCAGCTTGTCAACATGTTGCTACCTCGACATACTTTTAATAAACTCCTTTTAATTCTCTTTTTCCTGAAATTTGCTGAAGTAATCAGAGTAAAAGCCTGAACAAAGAATTTTCCTTTTAATGAGGTCATAAAATTCCACCTCTCTTAGCCTTTTGGAGTTCTTTTTTATAAAATGCTGACAGCTTGTCATATATGTCTGCTTGAACATTACCAGAGAAAAGGAAATGACTACTTCATGAGGCAATATACTGCATTTGCTAGACAAGCCTAATTGTTAGAAACTTCTCCCTGATATTGAGCCAAATATCCAATTATCCCCCTCTCTCCTTCCTACTGGTCTAAATTTTCCCCTCTGGAACCACATGGCAGTCTTTCAAATATTCCATAGATCACTTTCAAGTATCCCGTTAGTCGTTTCTTCTCCAGGCTAAATAAATTTAGTTCCTTTGAGAATTCTTCACAGGATTGCCCCATCATCTTCTTAGTTGTGCTTCCTCATATGTGCACACTAGTTATTTCTTAGTGTTCCTCTTAACTTATGGCTTCTAAGTGAATACCATACTCCAAACATCTACTCAGCATGGAGTGCCATGGGACTATTAAATCCTTTGTTCTGGATTCTGTAATTCTACTAAAGATATTGAAATTCGTGCCCTAGGTGACCCCATTGTTTCCAGTCTGGCTTGTCTTCTGGGTACAGCACGTAGTGATTCATCAGTCTTAGACAGACGAGTCAGCCAGTCTGCTCATGTACTTTGATCCCATTCCCTCATCTTTTATATTACCTGTTAGCCAGCACATAGCAGCCCATCCCCTTAACTCTAATCTCATTCCCTAATGATGCTTCAAAGTGGGAGGAGCTAAGATATAATGGCCCAACCCCTTGTGGTAGAATGAACTTACCGAGATTGTCTTACAAAAGTTGTCTTTAAAAACACCTGGAGGTTGGGGGCCCTCTTGGTTCCCTAGTGTTTGGTTATCCCACCACTGTGTGTTTTTTAACAAACTCCTTTCAGTTCTATCTTCCTGAGTTTTGCCTCCTTTATCAAGAGGACTGAACATAGAATTTTTCTTTCAGCAAAGATTGAAGAGCAAGTAGCTTTTTATTTTAGTATGGTATTTAGAGACAGCTGCATGGTAATTTCTGACTCGTTAATTTTGCAAGATGGGCTGATTGTAATAAGTTCATATTTAATAGGGATAGAAGTAAAGTCCTACATGTGGCCCACAAAATTACCTGCACAAAAACTGAATGGAAGAGTTATGGCTAGAAAACATGATGGGAAAAAATTGTTTGAATGACTACAGTGTCTACATAATATCTAATAGCATATATATGGCACTTGATAGTTTGCAAACATATTTAAAGTGTTACATAGATTAATTCATTTGATCTTCACAACCCTGTGAAGTAGGAAGATTTTGGAGATGAGGAAACTGAAGCACAGAGCAGTTAATCAATTTGCTTGGA